TCCCTAGTACTTCAGGGAAAAGAGCAAAAGGATGTGTAGTAGTAGCAGTAACAGCTGTGAGATGTTGAGTAAAGTCGGATAGGTGAGCCCTAACGTTACCTATGATCTGCTAGGCTGGATAAAGTTGTGAACTCCTGAATGGAGCTCGAGTGTTTCAGTCAATGCCATGCCTCATTAAGGTGGCTCAATCTGGCTACTTAGCTGAAGATAATGTGTGGTCAAAACTGTGATGTGGGCTGGGGAAGGAGCTGCTCTTAATTTGTGACCTAATATACGCTCCTAATACGAGCCTCCGTAACCCCCCCTGCCGTAACCACCACCACCACCTCCTCCTCCTCGGGAGTAAGGAGCGTTGCTTCTGCCCGAGTAATTACCTTTCATTGGGCCATAACCAGAGGACTGCTGGCCATAGCCGCTGCCAAAGTCATTGTAGCCGTTACCACCGCCGTAGCCCTCCATTTGGTCCCCGTAGCCTCCCCCATACCCGCCACCGTAGCCGTCATTGCCTCCATAGCCGCCGCTGTAGTTACCGTATCCGCTGCCGCGCCCGCCGTAGCCGTTCTGCGGTCTTCCCATCCCCCTTCCGCGGCCGCCACGGCCACCGGCGGCCTGCATCTCCTGCTTGGTCAGGGCTTTCTTCACCTCCACTTTATGCCCGTTAATAACGTGGTACTTGAGCACCACGGCTTTATCGGCCGAGTCGTTGTCTTCAAAATACACGAAGCCGAAGCCCCGCTTCTTGCCGGTCTCTTTGTCCGTGATCACCTCCGCCTTCTCAACCGCGCCGAACTGGGAGAAGCAGTCGAGGAGGTGATCCTCCTCGATATCGTCTTTAAGCCCGCCGATGAATATCTTCTTCACCTTCGCGAGGGCCTCGGGTTTGCCCGCGTCTTCCCGGGCCACGGCCCGCTTCAGCTCGACGTTGTTACCGTCCAGAACGTGCGGGCGGGCCGCCATGGCCGAGTCCGCCTCCTCGGGGCTCGAGTAGGTCACGAAACCGAAACAACGCGAGCGCTTCAGCTGCTGGTTCTGCACAACCACGCAGTCCGTGAGCGCTCCGTATTGCTCGAAATGATTTCGCAGCCCGTCGTCGGTGGTCTGGACGTTGAGGCCACCGACAAACAGCTTGCACAGTTGATTTTCCATTTGAGCCGTCATCTTCGCAACCTATTTTCCACTGGGTTGATGTAAAATGGCGGTGAAATATAAATGGCGGCGGCGGTGGTGCGGACGCATGATGTCATGTAAACGCAACCACGCCCACCGCAGTGTGAGATCAACGGGTGCAATGTTGCCAAGTCCGCGGTTTTCCCGCGGAATTGGGCTACTAAAATACTATAGTAATTTATAGTAAATAAATACTGTAGTGTTTTTGAACCATACTATAGTAAAGTACTTGAATTAATTTGTTGTGGTAATTCTATAGTTGCTGTGGTAATATAGCAACTATAGTAATATAAATAATTAAATGATAATAAGTAATTTCATGGACTTTTTCATTAACTGTTCCCTCCTGGTGGAATGACCTGCCCAAATCAATCAGAGCAGCTGAGTCCTTAACCATCTTGGATAAAAGTGTCTGCTAAATGACTAAATAAAATAAAAATAAAAATAAACAAATTACTTTACCCAATAGCCTACTGTACTAAGTTTTCTACAACTATAGGGTATATTATACTACAATACACTACAGTTTATTGTAGTAAAAACTAAAGTATACTACAGTTAGTTTTTATTACAGTTTATCAGTTCACTATAGATAATACTACAGTACAGTATGCTGTAGCATTCATTAACAAAGTGCTGTAAATACTATAATATATACAGTATAATGCACTATAGTATGGTTCAAAAACACTATAGTATTTACTATTAATATAGTATTTTTTCATGTGGGTACTCAAGCGGGCGATTCAGATGTCTCTGAATTTAAACGGTGATGTATATTCAGGTTTTGTAAGCATGATTTTAAATATTTTAAAATATTTTCTTCAAACTGTTGCTCCGCCATGACAGTATTTGACCTGAAAAAGGCAATCTCAGCTAACAATTTCGGGTTTCCAGAACGTTCTGGAAACAATTAGTTTGCAGAAAATAAACTACAAAGAACGTTCCCAAAACGTTAGGAGCACTGTGTTCGGT